CTAAAAAAAATAAAAAAGATACTCTGAAAGGCAGAGGGTCAACTGAGGAATCCATCTCTTTTCCTATTTTGCTTTATGTAGCTTTGGTCATCCTCTGCAATACTGGGAGAAGCTCCTTTCCCTAGGAAATTACCTTAAAGAACAATGTTATCTCTACCACCAGATTTATCTCTAGAGAAAACATTGGCTACAACCATACGATTTTTTGGTTTGAAGGAAGTATACCCTTCCCCCCCCCTCATAAATTTCCCATGGTTTCTAAAAAAGCACTCGAAGAGTCATTCCAGCAAAGTTTAAAACCCAGATTCAGGCTTTCCCATTCTCAATCAGTTGTCAGTTTCAACAGGTAGAGCCTAGGAACCCACAAACTCTCCCTTTGTTTTATTTACAAAGAGGTCTGGAAAATATTCTTCCACCCCAAGTTCATACAAAGTACTTAGCTATCAAAAGATCAATACAAGGCCCCCCTGGTGGTGCAAAGGGTTAAGTTTCAGCACTATCAAGCTACTCCCAGCCAGGCAGCTACCCACATGGCGCAGCAGACCTCTCCTGACTCATCCACTGCTCCCCTCAGCAGTGTACTTCAGCAAATCCCCCTGTTCTGCTCCTCTCTGGCGAATCCTCTCAACCCACCCCTGCACCTCTGGCCTGTACCCCTAGGGAGGGCATGGAAAATAGTAATCTGCTCAATTTTTTCTATCAGACTTAAATGAAGCAAGTGTGTGTGACTGGGAGGCACAAAGTAAATACAGAAAATTCAAAGTACCACTATCAGTAAGAATTAAAGTGCTTCCCTGGTGGCGCAACGGTAAAAGCACAGCACTATGAAGCTATCTGCAACCTCTGCAGCAAGAGTTCAATCCCCCAGCCAGCCAGGGAGCTATCCACATGGCGCAGCAGACCTCTCCTGACTCGTCCACTGCTCCCCTCAGCAGTGTATTTCAGTCAAGTTTGCCAGTTCTGTGTCCCACTCTGTCTCTGGCAAATCCTCTCACCCCTTGCAGGCCAGGCCTATACTCCAGTTCTTGTATTCACAAATGAAAAAAAAAAAAAATCTTAAAAAAAAAAAAAATATATATATATATATACACATTTTCTTCTAGATGGTGATACTAATGAAAACCAAGAATATTTAAAATCAGCAAATTGTTTTACATTGTATAAGCATGTTCCTTTGGCACTGTCACAAAGAGAAAATCCTATAATCTAACATAAGCTACTATTTTTATGTGACTATCTTTGTTATACAAGACACAGGTGGCTTTCTTGAGGTCCACCTGAAATAAAATGTTAAACATACTATATACAGAATTATAATCTGCTTTTACCAAGGTTTATAGCAGCAATCAAAATCAGGATAAAATTTTGATGTCATTAAAAAATTATCTTGGGCCTCCCCGGTGGCGCAGCGGTTGAGCGCTGGGTTGCGAAGCTGCCCGCAGCCTCTGCTGCGCCAGTTCGATCCCCAGCTGCTCCCCGGCCACCGGAGGAAGGTCCCACATGGCGCGCAGACCTCTCCTGCCGCCCACTGCTCCCCTCAGCAGTGTACTTCGGTCCTTCTGCCTGCTCTGCTACCCGCTCTGGCTCTGGCGAATTCTCTCACCTTCCCCGTGTTTCTGACTGTACCCAGTGCTTGTATAAATAAATAAATCTTTAAAAATATATATATTTAAAGAAAAATTACTATCTTACTAATTTTGAATGATGTTATAATAACCCTCAAATCATATCAGACACCAAATGGACATATAATCTTCTTGGATGTAAATTCAGGATGTTGATTATCTCCTGATGTTATCATTTTGAATACTCAGTATTTGCTTTGCTTATTACATTATGCTCCACACTTAATATGACGCTTTATATACTAAGAAAAAGAAAAAAGATTCAATAAATAGCAGAAAAATCAAATATATGAAGTACCGCAATTAGATTCCAAGCACATATAAAATATCTGTGCTTCCCCAAATGTTAACAGTGAGGCATCTCATTCACCTTTTTAGACAAATAATCTAACCCACTAATAGATTACTTGATAGTTTTCTGGTTTTATAAACTGCTCTATAAAATATATTCCAGGAAACATTGGGATATTTGACCATCTCAAACAGTTAAACATGTGTCAATATATCTGTAGTGTCTGTTATCTCAAAACAGTTAAACATGTTGTACCAATATATCTGCAGTGTCTGTTAACAATTAGCTGCATCCAAGAAATGAAAATCAACTTTTACTAAAACACTTGCATAGCATGGAAGAACTACGCTAAGAAATGTTTAGCAAATTTAAGAAGTATTAAAAAATAAAATATAGCACTTAACTGTGTAAACAAAACTACAGAAGTATTGTAGTGGGGAAAAAAGTCATCACTAGAGAGGTAGGGCAAAGTACCTCTCTAATGAGGTACTCTAATTAAAAATAAATATCCTGAATTTATATCCAAGGAAAAAATTAGTTCTGTTACAATAAATCTGTTATCAGTTAGTAAATATGTTGATAACCATAACACAATCCTTGTTAACAATATAGTCATGGATTTTAAATTTTTTTCTGACATTAAGAAGTGTTAACTTGGGCCTCCCCAGTGGCGCAGCGGTTGAGCGCTGGGTTGCGAAGCTGCCTGCAGCCTCTGCAGCGCCGGTTCGATCCCCGGCTGCTCCCCGGCCACCGGAGGAGGGTCCCACATGGCGCGCAGACCTCTCCTGCCGCCCGCTGCTCCCCTCAGCAGTGTACTTCGGTCCTTCTGCCTGCTCTGCTCCCCGCTCTGGCTCTGGTGAATTCTCTCACCCTCCCGTGCTTCTGACTGTACCCAGTGCATGTATAAACGAAACAAACAAACAAACAAATAAATAATTAAAAAGCATGCCTCTATAAAAAAAATTAAAAAAAAAAAAAAAAAAGTGTTAACTTGTTAAAAGTTTAACTGAAGAACTTCTACAAATACCTCAAGACAAAATAATTTTTTGGAAAAAAATTGAACTTTTGGATCTACATAAAATAATCCAAACAAAAAGCAGGCTCTAAATTCCTTATAGAACAGTACTATGTTTTCTATTTCCCCCTTTTCACTTAACTCATAAACCAATGGTGTGCAGGGCTCATTAAGTTTTTTAATATTGCTTAGGTACATAAGTGTATAGTTTCAAAATTCTACTAACAGTATTACAGAGAAAGTTATTATTTCATTTAGGTCTTAACTAACATAGTGAGTCAACTCCACAATGCAATGAATAGGAATGAGACCAATATGAATACAAAAAAGCAAGACTACAAGATGATGCTTTCTTTTGGGGAATTTTTTTTTTTTTTTTTTTTTATGATCAATTCCAAACACACAGTACAGGGAAGATGGAATGAATAAGAAAAAAAAAATCTTATGTTATTTCCCCATTAACACCAAGCCATATTATTCAAAATGTGTTTTAAAATACTAGCTACATCATCAATCCCAGCTACTGCTGTAGTTCAAATGCTCGCTAATAGTTAAGCAACAGAAATCCATTGTGAGACACCAGAGAGAACACCTACATTGCTATATATCATTTATTAACTTAGAAGTTTAGTCTCTCAATATTTAGCAAGTTTGCGTAAAAATTACTATACCCATTGGTATGTATAATGACATTAATATAAATGCATAATTTCAAAGTCAACATTCCTTTCAATGTGAACATAAAACTTCTTTAAAAATACTTGTAGGTTGGGAACAACTGGCTGCTGGGATAGCACTGTTCAAAGTCAAATAAACTTGCAGGCCTGGAAAGATATAAATGTATATACACTCTCAGTATGCTACTATCTCCTACATTATTGCTACACATAGTTGTATCATAAAATGGTATAAATTATTTCCTCAAATATGAAAAAGAAATCAAGATGAATTTTTATCTTGACTTAAAAATAATCCCTTTAAATGTAAAATTTCCTTATGTTTATTTAATCTTCTCGAGAAAGATTTAAATATTTTCTTCATGACATGTACATTTATTTTACCCTATCTTAGTGCCTCATTACAACCAACTTGGCAATAAGCGCTCCAGTGCTTTGTTAAAAATTGCATTCAGCATATCATAAGATTGTAAAATATGCAGCTGAATTTCTCAAGACAATGAATTATAACAAAGTCCAAAAGTTGTATGACCATCAACCTGTATAGTATTGCCAAAAAAAAAAAAAAAACCAAAAACAAAAACCCTCATATCTACATATAATTCAAACATAAACTTTGTGGTGAGAAGGTATAAAATAAATACAGTATTTTTCAACTCTATTTAAATGCTGCCTAGATGATTAGATGAAAACGATTAATATTACTAACAGAAAGAGTTAAACTATATTTAAGAATATTTTCCAAGTAGTTAGAATAATTTTGCAAAACAAAGATAATAAGCAAGAGCCTATACCAAAACATTTCTCCTGTAGTGTAATGTAATTGTTAATGTGAGGTATAATCTGTAAGCGATTAATACAAATATAAATAGGTGTAAGCCACTACCAAATCACAGTCTGGTGAAAAGCTTCTCAGTTAATATAGTTTGGTGGGGAGGGATGGTAAGGAATAGGAGAAGGGAACCACAGGGCAGATTTCCAGTGGGAATATCATTTACGTGCCTTATCATTATCATCACTTAGTATATAACAATTCATTGCTGCAGAAAGGTAAATCCTTTCAAAGTGTGCTGGTCTAGAATATACTTTATATAGCACAGTAAGATTAAGTACTGCTAATACTTCATTTGCATTTATATTTTGATATACACATTTATGTAGATAAAAACTACAACCAGAACTTTAAGACTTTTATCTCACTTTTGAAAACTCAACTGTTAAGGTTGAACTATGTACTACAGAATGTGCTAAAAAATCTAAACTTGGTAAAACTAAAGGAAAAGATTACTATTTCTTTAATAAATGGCTTGTGTGAAACCTCAAGCTCACTCATCTCTTTATTGATGGGTTTATATGATGAGGATTGTGATCCAATGATTGTTTAGCAGCAATTTTACCAAACTGTAAATTCTTTTATTAACAGGCATTATAAACAGATAATACTAATCTTATTTAAAAACCATTGAGTGCCACACTGGTGAATATACAGTTCATGAATAACTTAAAAAGTATTTCCCATTTTAAAAGGCAATACACAGCATACAAAAAAACCTATACTAAACAAAGAAGCTATAATATGAATACATGATTGAAGTGTTTAAAATGATATATATACAGTACATAATTAATGTTAATTATGTGATCAGTACATTTTTCTTTTTTGATTCCCTTCATGCTTCACTTTCCCCAGAAACTGAATTCTGAACTTCCTCTTCTAAAATTGGTACAATCAGGTTATCCTTGGACATCAAATTATATTTCATCACAAATTTAGTAAACCGATGACATAAAAATGTTTCATTCTGTAAAGAGGAAGAAAAAGATGTTATTTTCATTTACTATACAAAATCAAAAGTCATTATAATATCAACATAGATTATTCTGATAATGCTATCAAGACAATTAATGAAATATACTTACTTCATATTCATCAAATATCTGCCGGTGATGAAAATAAGCATGTGAAAATATTCTGTAAATCCTACGGCATACTGATCCTAGTTTTGCTACAGATGATTCCTTTATACTAACCCTAGAAATAGAAATCATAGATTAATAAAGCTAATCAGATCTCAGGAACAATGTAATCCAATCTTCTCAATAAGGGTGGAAGCTGACAGCTACGGAAAATAAGTGACCAGTTCAAGTCACAGTACTAGTAAGAGGTAAGGGTAGAACTAGAACCCCCACCATTTACTTTTGGGGCAGTGTTCTTTCTACCTATCCACAGCAACTGAATTAAAGTCAGTATTACTGTTTTAAACTTTGTTAAAGTTTAATACAATTAAAATGAATCTTTGACAAATTAAAACTTACTAAAACATCCATTTATGACACCAATACTTTGTCCACTTGAGGTGATCAAAACTAAAAGGGACTGTTTTACTCTACAGAACTAGATCCTTTTTGAGAAATAAAAATTGCATGTTTCTGATATCCTTTTTTAAAAAAAGTGCCTCAGGATACTAAGCAAAAAAGTATTTTTTATACATTTTTATTTTTTTATTTTTTTTTTAAGATTTATTTTTTTATTTATACAAGCACTGGGTACAGTCAGAAGCACAGGAGGGTGAGAGAATTCACCAGAGCCAGAGAGAGGAGCAGAACAGCAGTGACAAAGTACACTGCTGAGGGGAGCAGCGGGGGGCAGGAGAGGTCTGCATGCCATGTGGGACCCTTGCCTAGCGGCCAGGGATCGAACCGGTGCTGTAGAGGCTGTGGGCAGCTTTGCAGCCCAGTGCTCAACCGCTGCGCCACCGGGGAGGCCCTATACATTTTTTTTTTTTTAAAGAGGCACGTATTTTATTTATTTATTTATTTGTTTGTTTGTTTATACATGCACTGGGTACAGTCAGAAGCGTGGGAGGGTGAGAGAATTCACCAGAGCCAGAGCAGGGAGCAGAACAGGCAGAAGGACCGAAGGACACTGCTGAGGGGAGCAGCGGGCGGCAGGAGAGGTCTGCGCGCCATGTGGGACCCTCCTCCGGTGGGCGGGGAGCAGCCGGGGATCGAACCGGCGCCGCAGAGGCTGCAGGGAGCTTCACAACCCAGCGCTCAACCACTGCGCCACCGGGGAGGCCCCCTATACATTTTTATATGCGCTCTTTGGAGTTAATGATATTCAGGAAAGAAAAGTTTCCAAATCAATCCACCTGGTAACAAATATCTTATTAGAATAAAAAGGTCAGTCACAAACCTCACCCAAAAAACATTACAACATGCAGTCTTCTTCCCACATTAAAAATATGTAGACAAGGACAAGGAAACCTTCAAAAATAAGTCCAATTTAGGAAAGCCTGTGTTCTAGGCGTGCTGTCTTTTAAAAAAAACATTGACCTTAACTATCATCACAGAGATTCAAGTAAGCAAATTTGTAAACATTCCAACTTAAGGTGAAAAGGAGAGGCTTGGAGAACAGCAAACAGCAGCCAGCACTACACTTGACTGAACTGACCTGTGTACTTTGGGAGCCAACTTCTGTTACTTTTAATCTAACTAACCTAATTTCAAAACCTGCGTAAGTTCTGAACAAGCCAAATATAAAACAGCTAAAAAAACAGAAAAGTTTAAAGAATATAAAGCATTAACCAGAATATTCTATTACATTAAATCCTAAAAGTTTTAAGACCTTGTTTAAGAGTTTTGTTTACCTGCTGGGAAAATATTTATTGCTATTCAGAAGACATGCAGCACCATCAAGTGTGTGTCTAGTATAGTCTATAGCAGGACACTATAAAAGAAAGGATAAAAAAATGCATCAACAAAGAGCTCCTCTTAGATTAGGCCTATTAATATACAGGTACCTTCCACCCCCATCCAAAAGCAGACTGTTCCTTTGGCATGATATCCTAGGTTATTTTTTGGGTCTGACAACTAACAATGTACTTAGAAGAAAACCTTTTGAAAAAGACGGGAAGAACCAAATACCTAAATCTAACCAATAAATGAAGAACCAAAACTACAACAAAAAAAGAAAGAAGGAACTGAGGATAGTCAGTTTGCAGAGTATGGCTTCTTCCCAGATCTTAAAATGCTGCAAAGATAAGAAAATTCTTCAAATACAAGCAGTCCAACTTAGGAATGTCTGCTCTTTTAGCCATGCTGTCTAAGAGGAGTCTGGTTCTATCACAGAGATTCAGGCAAGATGGTATAATTCAAGTGAAAATAATGCAGCATCTTTACTATTTACCCAAATGAAACTAGCCTTCCTAATTCAGTTTCCTAGTTGCAGTTATCATTGTATTCACAATACCATACAGCCAGTTTTAGCAAATTATGAAATTGCCACATGGATTTTTCCCCAGATATAAAACAATACACAATCTTAATATTACTTCTATTTATTAACACAAAAAAGTAACACCCTGAATGAAGTCTTCCTTCCAAATAAGTACTAACTGAGAGTACTTTGGAGAATTACCCTTTTTAAACAAAAGAACAATATTGATTTTGTGGCCAGAGTCACTTGTCTTTAAGCCATAGTATCCCCAACTCAATATAATGACAATATGAATGTCTTTAATTCTATAGAACTGGCATAACCAATTATTTTCAACAAAGCAGTGGCAAGGGAAAGTAATTACTACAGATTAAAAGAAAATGCAACACACAGTTTGAACAGTTATAAAGGAAACTTTTGAGATAACTGAAAAAAACTCAGTATGTACTGGGTACCAGATAATATGAAGGAATTATTTTAAAAAAAAAAAAAATTCTAAAGACATTTGCCACTCTCTTTTTCTTTTCTTTTTTTTTTTTAAAGATTTATTTACAACAGCTGGGGTGTAGACCAGAGGTGCAAGGGGTGTGAGAGGATTCACCAGAGACAGAGTGGGGAGAACAGGTGGATTGACTGAAATGCACAGCTGAGGGGAGCAGCAGGTGGGACAGGAGAGGTCTGCTGTGCCATGTGGATTAGCTCCCTGACTGGGATCGAACTCATGCTGCAGTGGCTACCAATAGCTTCATAGTGCTGAGACTTAATCCCACCAAAGAGGCCCAACATTTGCTACTTTCTATACATTTACTTATTCTGAACAAAAACTAAATACTAAATAATGAGAAAAATAAATAACTTTAAATTCGGACCAATTATGGAAAGGAAAATCGTTATGATGCATTTATAAGATAGTAATGAAATGTAAAGAAAAAATATTCACCTATAAACTTTAAAAGCTCAAAAGTAACATTTCTACTTAACTGACCAAACATCAGCTAGTAATCACCAACAGTTATTCCGATCAAAAGAAGTAAGGGAATCAAACTTAAACAGGTATAATCAAACTTAAACAGGTATAAACAAACTTAAACAGCTCATCAATTATACATTAAGTATCAGGACAATGGTGACATGTTATTTGTGATAGTCAGTGAACCGTAAAGCAAATTCTAGTCCATACAACCACCCAATAATGAAAAATGACTCTAATCTAAGGAATCCTAAAATAGTACTATGAAAATAAACTTGCTGCAGTATCTATAAACCAAATAGCAAAATAAACAATGAACTAAAAACCCTAAAAATTGTCTACTATTGTCTTGGAAAGATTTAGGTTATGATGATTTTATTAGTCATTCTATTTTGTGAATTCTCACCTCTTTTGGAGTTTTATGAGCTGCACAAAGAAAAATCCATTGTTCAGTTGCTGTCATCTGAGTGCATGTATCTGGATGGCATTCACTCTGTTAAAAAGTAGTATTTTTTAATAAGTAAGGTAATAATGAAAAAGCTCATCATTTGGGTTGGAACATTTCCATGCAAAACACTAGCAGAAAATACACTTTTTAGATTAGTCTTTATAAAACACATTAAGTTACAAAAATGGGGGAAAAAAATCAGAAGTTTACACTGTAACTTAAAGAAAACATTACCTGAAGTTTAACAGCAAGTCCATTTAGTTCAAGACAGAATTGCCTGAAAATAGATATATAAATGAAAAGTGTTATCGCAGTCTATTTTAGAATATTAACTATAAAGGGAATCTCACCACCACCACCACCCTTCCTTCCTCATTCACATTATCAACACCAATTGTATTGATACAGCACACTTCTTGCAAAGACCTATATGTCAAAACACAAAACCAAAAACTAACAATTCTAATAATATGCATTATCAGAATTATTAAGTTGATTACTCTTATATGCTGGAATTGGTACAATTTTTCTGGGAAGTAATTTGAAATATTCCCCAAGAAGCTTAGGAAATATAATATTTAAAATAAGTCATTGTCCTGGGCCTCCCTGATGGCGCAGCAGTTGAGCGCTGGGTTGCGAAGCTGCTCGCAGCCTCTGCAGTGCCAGTTCGATCCTCGGCCACAGGGCAAGGGTCCCACATGGTGCGCAGACCTCTCCTGCCGCCTGCTGCTCCCCTCAACAGTGTACTTCGTTGTACCGCTCCTCTCAGCAGTGTATTTCTGGTAAATTCTTTCACCCTCCTGGAGGAGGTACTGACTGTACCCAGTACTTATATAAATAAATCTTTAAAAAAAAAAAGTAATTGTCCTAAGAATATATTCTAACAAAATAATCAGAACTGCATGCAGACATGTAAAGATGGTCACAAAAAACAAGATATACATACAAGAAATTTTTGAAGCATTCTAAATGATTAATAATTTAGAGTAGTAAAATGTTGGTATAAACATAAAAATACAAAGTACATATGCCTATATTCACTGTAAGATTCTAGTTATGTAAAAAAAAAAGTATATATTTATCTATATCCAAACAGTACACAGAAAAAAAGACTAGATGTTTTATACATTTTCCAGGTATTGTTCTGATTAAAACAATATGCTCCTCATAAAAATTTCAAAAAAACAAGTATAAAATGTATAAGACAAAAATCCTCCATAATCCCACCACCTCCTTCTAAAAGGTAATTACCATTTACATGAAATTTTGATTTTCTATGGACAGCTTAAAATATATTGGGATCATATCATACATAATTTTCTGACTTGCTTTTGTCCCTTAACAGAGCTTGAGTATTTTAACTCAGTCCTCACCCTCTCCCTCCACACACACTGTTTATTTTTTGTTTATTTTTTTATTTATTTATGCATACAAGAACTGGGGTACAGGCAAGAGGTGTCGGGGGGTAAGAGGATTCACCAGAAGCAGACTGGGGAATAGAGCGGCAGACTGAAACACACAGCTGAGGGGAACAGCGGGTGAGTCAGGAGAGGTCTGCTGAGCTATGTGGGTAGCTCCCTGGCAAGGGATTGAACTTATGCGGCAGCGGCTGATTGCTTCATAGGTTGCATCTTACCCCCTTGCACCACCAGGGAGGCCCTATTTATTTATTTTTGTGAAGAACTGGGGTGTAGGTCAGAGGTGTGGTGGTGAGAGGATTCCCCAGAGACAGAGTGGAGAGCAGAACAGGAAGATTTACTGAAATACACTGCTAAGGGGAACAGCAGGCGAGATAGGAGAGTTCTGCTGCACAATACGTCAGTTAGCTCCCTGGCCAGGGATCAAACTCAGGCCTGATCAGTGATAGTGCTGAGACGTAACCCCTAGGCCACGAGGGAGGCACCCTGTTGAGCATTTTTTTCATGATATACTTCCCTTCTAAAATTGCCAGACTGAGAATTATAAAACCTAGAACATGGGGCCTCCCCGGTGGCGCAGCGGTTGAGCGCTGGGTTGCGAAGCTGCCCGCGGCCTCTGCGGCACAGGTTCGATCCCCGGCTGCTCCCCAGCCACCAGAGGAGGGTCCCACATGGCGCGCAGACCTCTCCTGCCGCCGGCTGCTCCCCTCAGCAGTGTGCTTCGGTCCTTCTGCCTGCTCTGCTCCCCGCTCTGGCTCTGGTGAATTCTCTCACCCTCCCGCGTTTCTGACTGTACCCAGTGCATGTATAAACAAACAAATAAATAAATAAATAAAATACGTGCCTCTTAAAAAAAAAAAAAAAAAAAAAAACCTAGAACAATGCCTGGAACATAGTAAAATTCAATAAATGTTCTTTAGGAAAAAAAAAAAAGGAATGGATGAAATTACATGAAATTCTGATCATATTTAGACAGACCTGTTATTTGACATGCAAAAGCAATTAATTCCCTATGTCACAAAGATATTTATTCTACAGCTGTCAAAATACTAAATGTGGTCTCTAAAAATCTTATCAAAGTAGAAGATCACTACTATACTTATCCACTGAACAAATAAAAACACTTTAGCTCCCTAAAAATACAAAGGTAAAACCTACATAACAAAAGTAAGAGCCCAATGAGGGGGGGAGGGGGACCACATGTATACATTTGAAACAAAATAGGTATAAAAAAACTGTATTTACTTAAAGTTCATTATGATAGAAGAAAGCAAATAAAAAGGGTTAATTTTCAGTTGTCTGTATTTCCTGTCCAGATGACTAATAATGGCTGTTCTTAGGTTACAAAACTAAGACTATTTCTAAATCACATCCCCCTCTACTGCTCCATATCACACTGTATGCTGTGTATTTTTGAGTTGTTTCCCAGGAAGTGATGATAAGCAAGTCTGTCCTCTAATCCAACTTGCTCTTGGCTAACAGCAAAATTAAGCTGATTTGGGAGTGTTATGGGTACAATCTATAATAGTGCTAATGCAACAGCTTTAAGTTAATTCAATATAGGGCTAACAACACAAGTGTGCAACTGAAGAGATTAGCCAGAGCTGAAACCCAGCCTATACCAAACCATGTATCCTGACATGGAATTGCATCCACTGAAGAGGGGCATCTTTTCCCAATCACAAATGTTCAGTATGGGCTAATAGGAGATTTGACTTTAATCAGGATCCAATTTGCATTAAAATCATAATATTATCAGTTATATTAACCTATAACAACAGCAATTATTTAGTAACATCATAAGGAACAAAGGTAAATTTAGATGGAAAATACTCAGTACACTGAAAATACTACATGAATCAGTTACTTTTCTGTTTTAGTTAATTAATAAGATCTGTTATTGGAAAGCCAGCCTCTTCTTTATGGTCTGTTATCATACCAAGCCCCTCTCCCTTAAACAACACCCAAAGAGAGACTTCTTTTTGTTTTCTCACAAAATTCACAGAAGTAATTAGGGAAGAAATAAGGAAACATTTATTGACCATCTACTGTGGTCCAAAGTCTGTGCCAGGATCTTTACATCCACCAATTCACTGATATTATTAGAACCATATCTGATTTATGGAAGAGAAACAGAAGGATCAGAAAGATTGGGTGATGAGCTCAATGACACACAGTAGAGTGTAGCACAGCTGGAGTGCAAACCCAGGGTTGATCTGACTCTAAAGGCATATATAGGGCCTCCCTGGTGGTGCAAGGAGTTAGAACGCAGCTCTATGAAGCTACCCATATCCACTGCAGCATGAGTTTGATCCCCGACCAGAGAGGTGACACACATGACGCAGCAGATTTCTCCTGACTCGCCCGCTGCTCCCCTCAGCAGTGTATTTCAGTCAGTCTGCCTGTTCTGTTCCCCATTCTGTCTCTGGTGAATCCTCTAACCACCCACACCTCTGGCCTGTACCCCAGTTCTTGTATGCATAAATATTTTTTTTTAAAAAATGAATCTTTAAAAAGTTATTAAAAAAATAAAAATGCAAGCGGAGAGGGGAAAAAAATAAAATAAAAAGGGGAAAATATCCTCATACTTTCCATTATCATATATTAACATATATTTTTAAAAAATTCAAACAAGTGGTTAAGTGACTTCAAAGAAACTCCTAGAATACAAAGAAGTCTTAGTATCCTGAAAGAGCTGAAATGTTATGACATTATGTCTTAGGAATATATAGACAGGCCCGCAGCACCAAAAAAAAAAGTGCTTTGTTTAAAAGTTGAGGAAGTCATCACAGGAAATGTGATCTAATTTATTCAGGAAAAGCCATTATTCTACTCCACTTACTACTGAAAAAGCAACGTAAAAGCCAACAACATATATCTCATACTGCATTTGCTATTATGTAATCTATCAACTCATCAGTTCCCATTTACATTAAAAAATTTGTACCTTCAAGAAACATCTAGTAGCTTCAGGATATATTTGCTTCTAAAGTTAACTCTATGTACTAGTCATCAATTTCTCATTCAAAAGATACTATGAAGAGCTCCAAAATCCCTTATTTCAGGATTATAATCTCTATTTACCAAAGGGAAGAGTGGAAGCTCACGATAGTTAATGGGTAACTAACTCATCACCTACCAGGGCTACATTGGAACCTGGTGTTGATCCTCTCTAACAATATAGCTATTCATGAGTGGGTAAATGGAAATAATACATTAATGATTAAGGATTAAAGAAAACTCTTCTTTAAAAGATAACAAAGCCCAAATTCATAAAGGTAGAAAACAATCAATAAAGAACAAAATTGAAAATTTTTTTAAGTTAAAAAGACAAAAGCTTTAGATTTGGCTCTTTGGTCTGTGGTTACAAATTTTATTTATGATTCATAATTGTTTATTAACATTATAGGCTATTTTTAACAGAAGTACTATTACAATTTTGATATAAGGACCTACCTCAAATGTTCATACTTCCATACACCTTCATCCTGGCCTTCAGGTGGTTCAAGAATTTTGTCAATATTGGAACAATCTGCTCTTATGTTCTGTTGAATATACTATAAACAAAGACAATATAATAACTCCTAAGGTTCAACTTCAAGGTTACACACAAAATAGGAAACGAAGTATAGAATCATAATCAGTAACTCAGAAGAAAGGGGGTAATCCTTAGCTATTCTTCTCCAATTCAACTTTTCTGGGATAGTCTACTACAATAATGCACATAAAGTATTTACCAGGATTAGACCTGAGAGAGATACTATAAATCATTAGTTTCATATCAACATAAAATAGTGTAAATAAAATGATTATGTAGAACATATGAACACATTAATATGAATCAGCTAGAGCAATCAGAATAAAACAATAACAATTCTTTAATAAAGCTATATAACATGCTTAACAAGTGAACTTATATAATTAATAATTTGTTACAAGTGGAGTGAGAAATTACCAATATTTAACTAATCTAGATTCTTTTCTAATGACAGTTAATAAAACACATAAAAAAAAAAAATGGCCTCCCTGGTGGCACAAGTGTTTAAGCACCACACTAGGAAGCAATCCGCAGCCTCTGTAGCACAAGTTCAATCCCTGGCAGGCCAGGGAGCAACCCACATGGCGAGGCAGACCTCTCCTGTCTCGCCTGCAGCTCCCCTCAGCAGTGTATTTCAGTCAGTCTGCCTGTTCTGTACCCCACTCTGTCTTTGCTGAATCCTTTCATGCCCTGCATCTCTGACCTGAACCCCAGCTCTTGTGTGCTCTTTTTTAAGATAAATAAATCTTAAAAAATAAAAAATTAAAAAAAAAACAGCAATCCTTAACTTAGAAGTAAATCAATGTCATTTTGGTTTCTGAACTGTGTCTACCATATAACATTTCAGGGTATCTATCTATCTATCTATCTATCTATCTATTTTTTTAAATTTTTTTACATCATTGTTCATTTTATACAAGATCTGGTGTGTAGGCCAAAGATGTAGGGAGTGAGAGGATTCACCAGAGAGAGTGGGGAGCAGAACAGGCAGATCTAATGAAATACACTGCTGAGGGGAGCAGTGGGTAAGACAGGAGAGGTCTGCTGGGCCACGTGGGCCACCTCCCTGGCCGGGGATTGAACTTGTGCTGCAGTGGCTGCTGCTAGCTTGATAGTGCTGAGACTTAAGCCCTTGTGCCACCAGGGAGGCCGCCCATTTCAGGGTTTCTAGCAGTATATACTCACTTCCCAGACCTTTCAAATCTCCTTAACACAAGAATATATTATGCCAGATTTTAGATTATGTCAAAAAGAAACCATGAAATTTTGTCTTTTTTAAAAAAAAGATTTTATTT